CGCACCTGGTACTTGGCCAGCTCCCCGCTCCGCCGGTCCCGCAGCCCCTCCAGCTGCCGGTGTAACGCGTCCACCGCGCCCCGCAACGCCTCCACCTCGGCGGCTCGGGCTCGCAGCAGCCTCCGGTAACCGGCGGCCTCAGCACGGGCACGGAGCACCGCCTCGCCGCCGCCGCCGCCGCCCCACCGGCACCGGGGCCGGCCCTCGGCCGCGCTCATCCCGGTGGTAATGCGGTTCCACCCCTCCGCGTCACGGAACCGCAGCCAATCCCGCCGGTACCGGCTGTCAGACTCCTCCCGGCAGCAACGGAGAGGGGGAGCCGGCAGAAGCCTGTCCCCCAAAAGTGGGGTGAGGGGCTGCAGCGCCGTGGATAGCGGCGGGGTAGGGGGCAAGGTCGAGTTCAGGGTCAAGGTCATCGCTGTTACAGCCCCCCCCCTTCATTCCCTCCATCATCATCATCATCAACAGAGGCTGCAGTCGGGCTGGATGCTCCTGGCGGGGGGAACCCCCACTTAGGGGCTCACTGGGGAGAGGGTGAAGCGATTTGCCGGAAAAAAAGGGGATTCAGCCCCTCTGCCCCCCACGAGTGTCCTGTGGGTCACACCAAGGCTCAGTCCGTGGGAAGCGATGGTAGCCCCGGGGGGAGTCAGGGACTGGTGCAATCCTCAGCACGGGGGGGTTGTGGGGCATGTCCAGGGAGGGGGGCTGGGGGGCACCGGCCATCGGTCTGTCCTACCACRGGATGGGGCCAAGTCCTTCGTCCAGCCCGGAGGGCACAGATGGAAGCCGGAGGTGSCAAACTCCGACCGGGATAAGGCAAACGGTGCGGGTGGTGCAGACCCCGCTGTGAGGGCGGGGGGCTCCCAGCACCAGCGATGGGAGATCCACGCCCTGCCCTGCTCCAGGTGGGCTGGGGGGCCCAAGGRGAGCCAGCCTGATCCGTGGAGCTGCTGGTGGGGGAGCTTCAGAGCCCTGCCAGCTGTGGGAAGCCATCCCTCGGCTCCCAGGGGTCCGGGCAGGGGGGTGCAGGTGTCCATGTGGTGCAGAGACCCCGCCCTTGGCTCCCGCGGGTCTGGGCAGGGGGCTACACACATCTGTGGGGTGCAGGGGCCCAGCCCTGGGCTCCTGGGGGGTCAGGCAGGGGGCTGCAGAGGTCCATAGGGTGTGGAGGCCCATCCCTGTGCTCCCAGGCAGCACCAAATCCAGCGGGATTTGGCGAAGTTTTGGGTCCAACCGCAGGGGCACAGCCTCCCTCCCGGGTGGTCCTGGGGAGCTGTCCACAGCGGGGAGGGGGCTGCCGGTGGGGAGCTCCCAGGAAGCTGCAGCCCCTTCCCTGCCACAGTCCGGGCTCGGTGCCACCTCCTGGCACATCGGCAGCACCCAGGGCCCTCACACCACAGAGGCCACCCCCGAGACCGACGTCACCTTGTTGTCCTCGGCCCAGGGCTGGAGGTTCTGCAGGGCGTAGAGCGAGGAGTTGTGCATGCAGAGCGGGTCCTGCGRCAGCGGCTGCGCCAGGCTCTTCTGGAAAGCCTCCTGCTGCAGGTGCAGCATCAGCCGGTTGGCCTGCTGCCGCTCGGCCTCGCGCTCCTCCGCCGTCTGACGCCTGCGGACACCCACCGTCGGCACGGAGCGTGGCACGGACCGCAGCCCTGTCCCTTGTCCCCTCAGTACTGCCACGTGCCACTGGGATCATGCCACAGCACCACCAGACTTCTCCCAGCCAAGCACAGGGGGTGTCGGGCATCCCATTCCATCCCATCCCATCCCATCCCATCCCATCCCATCCCATCCCATCCCATCCCATCCCATCCCATCCCATCCCATCCAGCCCCAGTCCCATCCCATCCCAGTCCCATCCTTTCCCAGAACGCAGGGCTCGGCTGCAGCACGGGGCAGCTGCTGGGGGGATGTGGGGTTTGGGGCTGCCAGAGGAATATTTGGGAAGTTCTCAGAGGAATGCAGGGGTTGGGGTGACATAGGAATGAGGGGATTGGGGTTGCCAGAGAGATATGGGGGAAGCTCTAAGAAGGATGCAGGATTTGAGGCTGCCAGAGGGATATGAGGGATGCGAGAGGGATATTGGAGCAGCTCTCAGAGGGATGCAGGGGCTGGGCTGAAAGAGGAATGAGGGGATTGGGGCTGCCAAAGGGATATGGGGGTGGCTGCCAGAGGGATATTGGGGCAGCTCTCAGGGGGATGCAGGGGTTGGGCTGACAATGGGATGAGGGGATTGGTGTTGCCAGAGGGATATGGCAGAAGTTCTCAGAGGGATGCAGGTTTGGGGCTGCCAGAGGGATATTGGGGTGGCTGCCAGAGGGATATTTGGGAAGTTCTCAGAGGAATGCAGGGGTTGGGGTGACATAGGAATGAGGGGATTGGGGCTGACAGAGGGATATTGGGGCAGCTCTCAGAGGGATGCAGGGGTTGGACTGACAATGGGATGAGGGGATTGGGGCTGCCAGAGGGATATGGCAGAAGTTCTCAGAGGGATGCAGGTTTGGGGCAGCTCTCAGAGGGATATTTGGGAAGTTCTCAGCGGAATGCAGGGGTCGGACTGACAATGGGATGAGGGTTATTGGGGCTGCCAGAGGGATGTGAACATCACGCTTGCAGCAGCTGCCCCAAGGCCACCCCGTTACCTCCACTTGGTGCGGCGGTTCTGGAACCAGGTCTTGACCTGGGCGTCCGTCATCTTGAGGGCCTTGGCCAGGGTGGCRCGCTCGGCCGAGGCCAGGTACTTCTGCCGGTGGAAGCGCTTCTCCAGCTCGCAGATCTGCACCCGGGAGAAGGACGTCCGCGGCTTCTTGCGCTTGGGAGGCGTCCGGTTCTGGTAYGGGTGCCCGATGCGCCGCGTCGCCGCGAAGGGTGACAGGGCGGCTGTGGGGAGGCAGGGGTGAGGGGGGATTTGGGGGACCACAGCAGAGCTGAGGGGAGCAGGAGCCTGGGGAATGATGGAGGGGTTGGGGCCATGGGGATATCCGTGGGGATGTGGGGGTGGGAGCTTGGAGGGGTCATTGGGACAGGGAGCTCCAGGGGAGCCACCAGAGCTGCTTGGGAGAGGAGAGGAGGGGAGGGGGACCCTCAGAGTCATCCCCACCTGCTCCCCCAGCTCAGGGACCGGCGGGCAGCATGGCATGGCATGAGGGAGGACCCTCCTCCTTTCCACCCCCAGGGCCATGGCACGATGGCTCCCCCAGGCTGGCAGTCATCACTGGAATGTCGCGGTGGATGGGCCGCCCGCTCAGAGGACTGATGCAGGACCACCAAGCTCCGGCTGCGCAAACCCTCCCTCCCCACATGCCGATCTCCCCTGCAGCCCCCAAGGAGCCTCCACAGCGCTGCAAGGGCTGCCCGGCCCTGCCAGGCAGGGGATGGGACTGCAGAAGCTCTTGGGAGGCAGGCAATGTCCCTTTCCATGTGCCAGCAGGGCCTGGGCTGGCCGCCATCAGCTGCCTGAGTGCCGGGGGCCGGGGAAGGGGCTGTCCCTGCCCAGCTGAGGTGTGAGCCAGCCCTGGTGAGGCCGATATGTCACATCCCAGCCCCAGAAGCTGCCAGAGCCACAGGGAGCATCAGGGCAGCGAAGCAGCATGGAGGAAAGCGAAGGCTTGGCTGGGTCAGCACCCAACAGCCACTCCCCTCCTGCTCTGGCAGCAGCCTTGGCCAAGCCATGACCCCGTGGCACCRCGTCCCCATGGCACCACAACACCGCAGCCGTCACCAGGGCCAACACCACAGTGCGCATGGCAGTGACCATGGGTGGCCATGGGGCCCCAGGGAGATGGAGCACAGCCCACAGCACCCCAGGGACCCCCTGGCGCCCACAGACCCTCCCTCCCACCCGCGCCCGGGAGCCGCCTGGCCGCCGGCGGGGGCGGACGCGGTTGACGCAGGTGGAGCYGCGCAGTCGGGGGGCCCCCGCGCCCCCTCCCCGCACGGGGCGGCCCCTCGCYGGGACCAGATGCCTCCTGCCCGCAGCCCACCCCAAGGCCAGCGGTGCTGAGTGATGGCTGCGCTGGGAGACCCCGTACTGGGGAGGGGCTGCCCCGTCCACCCAACGCTGGCGCCAGGCAGGAGACGAGGACGTCACCCGCCACCCCGCCACCCCTGTGCAGGGACGGTGCTTCGTCACCGCTGTGATGGCGGGATGGGCCGGRAGGCGAACACGGTGCTGCTGGCGCCCAGGTGGGACCCTCACGGTCCCCGGCCTCCGATCCCACATGGCCCCATTGCCCACACGGCCCCATCACCCACATGGCCCCATCACCCACACGGCCGGCCCTCGGCCCCCAGCCCCGCACGGCCCCCGGCCTTGTCCCCGCATGCGGCCGCGCACTGTGGACGTGGCAGTGCCGCCATCTTGGGCGGGARCAGAGCCGAGCCAGGCCGGGGGTCTCCCGCTCCCAAAGGCAGCCCTGGTGACCAGGACCTCAAACTCAGCGCCTATTCCTGCTCCTCGGGGATCCAGCAGCGATCACCCTCATCCCAGCACGGTGCTCAGCCCCCAGCACGGCACTCTGCCCCGGCCCCACCGGCAGCACCACGACCCCTCACCGCCTCCCCGACACCTGCATCGCCGCAGGCCCGCCCCAGCCTCTCCCACAGCACCGACACTCAGTGCTCCACACACATCCGTGCACCTTCAGATCTGGGATCCCATCCCCAGACACCCCATGGTTATCCCCCACTGTTCCCATCCTCTGGGGCTCACCAGGCCGAGGCATCTGCTCTGTCCGTGGACAGGCTTTGTCCCACGATTTCAGGATGGGTCCCCATATCCTATCCCCACAGAGCCCCCACTTCACACCCAACACTCCACAGAGCCCCCATCCCACTCTGAATTTCATGGGAGCTCCCACCCCGCACCCTGCAAAGCACCCACCCCTCACCCCAGCTCCCCGCAGCCTCCGGCAGCTCCTGGTTACGGTGGGACAGGGTCACCCCCCGGCGCCTCCGAACCAGGGAAGGGACCAGACACGGAGCRGAGCCCGAGACCGGAGCCTGTGGGACCCCAGGGGCTCATCCCGGAGCCGCCGGACCCTGTCCAGTGCCGCAGTGGAGCCGCCGGTGGCCGCGTCTACCCCGAGCCGCTTCCGCGGGCCCCGACGGCGGCGGGCGAGGACCGGGGGCTCTGGGAACCTGTGGAGCGCACGGTCCCCGCCATCCCCGGCCGGTCCCCGCGGCCACCCCGACCCGCGCCGCGCCCGCCGCACCGCACTGCCCCGACGGAGACCCCGGTGCCGTGCGGATCCCCGGAGCCGTCAATAGCCGCCGGTACCGCCGCTAGCCGTCCCGCCCGCTCACCTGAGAGCCGGTCCTTGGCTATGCGGCGAGTGGTTTCCATCCAGGGGAAGGTGAGCCCCGGCAGCGCGGGCCGGTGCGCCGGGACGCGGATGACTCCGGCGGGCGGCGCGGCGGGCGCGGGGGTCACGTTCACGCTCACGTTCATGCTCATGTTGAGGTTGTAGGAGCCGAGCGGACCGGCGGGGCCGTACCCGCTGCCGTAGAGCCCGTAGTCGGGCTCTGCCGCCGCCCGGTGCGGCCCCGTGGGCTCGGGGCCGCCCAGGATCTGGTCGATGCCGAAGCTGATGGGCTCGTGGGGCGCGGGGGGACCCGGG